TCTGCTCAATTCTCCACAATCCCCAGTTTAGTAAAGAATTCCTCTACAATGCTCTATAGGAATCAGTTAAACACAAGACATAGAATTTGATCCCCAACCCTCCTATCGTAACCCATAATGCCCCCCATTTCCCTTACCTGTTCGCTGTAGATTGCCGAGGGGTGTGCTAGGGAGACTCAGCTCTGAGTGACCCTTCTTGGTGTCCTGGCTCAGTTTATAAAGTCTCCCAGCCTGGTATGCGACTTGTTTCTGAGTGACCTTCACAGCGCACCCCTGACCTTTCCCACATGGGTAAATATAGCCACCCTGCCCTCGGTATGTGAAACCGGAGAGACAGTGACATTCACAGGACACGCTGGCATATCATCCAAGGTGAAGTGGCAGAATGGGAGCCTTGACCCATAATGTGCCCAAGTCAGACGTTCGGAGTAGAGCATCTTTAACTCTGGCCTGATATATTATTAGAGCGCCAATGTGTTCTGTAGCGCAGTACAACAAATCAAACAGATACATTGTTAATAAGTTTACGTGAAAAATAAATCAAGTTAAGGTGAACTGAAATGTAAAATGAGGGAGCCCGAGCTATCGGAGGGAACAGTCTTCTGTAAGAGACATAGAGCTAGAAGTTGTATTACCTAAATCAGGCATTGCAAAGAAATAATCCAGTAATTGTAAATTATCATGCGAAAAATATTGCAAGATGTACACAATAGTAGAGATTCTTTTTCCTGCGTAGTTATTATGCCTGGATTCATTTATCACTTATCAAAGCATGAAACATCAGGCAAGTGAATCCACTAAAATAAGCCAATTACTGAAGCAAAATCTAAACCCAGCACTGTCTGAGCCTGTCCTGATAACATGCAGTCAGATCCCCTACATTAGATATAAACCCAGCGCTGTCTGAGCCTGTCCTGATAACGTTCGGCCAGATCCCCTACATTAGATATAAACCCAGCGCTGTCTGAGCCTGTCCTGATAACGTGCAGTCAGATCCCCTACATTAGATATAAACCCAGCGCTGTCTGAGCCTGTCCTGATAACGTGCTGTCAGATCCCCAGACATTAGATATAAACCCAGCGCTGTCTGAGCCTGTCCTGATAATGTGCAGTCAGATCCCCTACATTAGATATAAACCCAGCCCTGTCTGAGCCTGTCCTGATAGCGTGCGGTCAGATCCCCTACATTAGGTATAAACCCAGCGCTGTCTGAGCCTGTCCTGATAACGTGCAGTCAGATCCCCTACATTAGGTATAAACCCAGCACTGTCCGAGCCTGTCCTGATAACGTACAGTCAGATCCCCTACATTAGATATAAACCCAGCACTGTCTGAGCCTGTCCTGATAACGTGCAGTCAGATCCCCTACATTAGATATAAACCCAGCGCTGTCTGAGCCTGTCCTGATAACGTGCAGTCAGATCCCCTACATTTAGATATAAACCAAGCGCTGACTCAGCCTGTCCTGATAATGTGCAGTCAGATCCCCTATATTAGATATAAACCCAGCGCTGTTTGAGCCTGTCCTGATAACGTGCAGTCAGATCCCCTACATTAGATATAAACCCAGCGCTGTCTGAGCCTGTCCTGATAACGTGCGGTCAGATCCCCTACATTAGATATAAACCCAGCGCTGTCTGAGCCTGTCCTGATAGCGTGCGGTCAGATCCCCTACATTAGATATAAAATAGCGCTGTCACCAGGCCTGTCCTGATAACGTGCGGTCAGATCCCCTACATTAGATATAAACCCAGCGCTGTCTGAGCCTGTCCCGATAACGTGCGGTCAGATCCCCTACATTAGATATAAACCCAGCGCTGTCTGAGCCTGTCCTGATAGCGTGCAGTCAGATCCCCTACATTAGATATAAACCCAGCGATGTCTGAGCCTGTCCTGATAACGTGCAGTCAGATCCCCTACATTAGATATAAACCCAGCACTGTCTGAGTCTGTCATGATAATGTACGGTCAGATCCCCTACATTAGATATAAACCCAGCTGTCTGAGCCTGTCTGATAGCGTGCGGTCAGTCCTACATTGGCTATAAACCCAGGCGGCTGTCACAGGCCTGTGTCTGATAGCGTCGGTCCAGTCCCATTAGATATAAACCCAGCACTGTCTGAGCGACGTGCAGTCAAGATCCCTACATTAGATATAAACCCAGCGCTGTCTGAGCCTGTCCTGATAGCGTGCAGTCAGATCCCCTGTTAGATATAAACCCAGCGCTGTCTGAGCCTGTCTGATAGCGTGCGGTCAGATCCCCTACATTAGATATAAACCCAGCACTGTCTGAGCCTGTCCTGATAACGTGCGGTCAGATCCCCTACATTAGATATAAACCCAGCACTGTCTGAGCCTGTCCTGATAACGTGCGGTCAGATCCCCTACATTAGATATAAACCCAGCGCTGTCTGAGCCTGTCCTGATAGCGTGCGGTCAGATCCCCTACATTAGATATAAACCCAGCGCTGTCTGAGCCTGTCCTGATAACGTGCGGTCAGCTCCCCTACATTAGATATAAACCCAGCGCTGTCTGAGCCTGTCCTGAAAACGTGCGGTCAGCTCCCCTACATTAGATATAAACCCAGCGCTGTCTGAGCCTGTCCTGATAACGTGCGGTCAGATCCCCTACATTGGATATAAACCCAGCGCTGTCTGAGCCTGTCCTGATAATGTACAGTCAGATCCCCTAC